AAAAAAATAAAAATAAATTAAAAAAAAAATAAATCAGAAACACTAAATCTACTGGAAGAAAAAGTAGGTAGAAATCTTGAAGACACAGGGGTAGGCAAAGAGTTCATGAACAAAAGCCAAACAGTACAGGAAATACTTCCAAGAATCAACAACTGGGATCTCTCTTATTGAAAAGTTTTGGCATAGCAAAAGAAATCACCAATACAGTAAAAAGAAAACCCACAAATTGGGAAAAAACTTTAGCCAACTGTCCCTCTAACAAAGGATTTCTATCTAGAACATATAAAGAATTTTTAAAAATCAGACCTCCAAAATTCAAAGACCCAGTAAAAAATGGTTATCTGAGATGAATACACACTTCTCAGATGAAGAAATACAAATGGCAAATAAATATATGAAAAAATGTTCAACCTCATTGGTCATTAGAGAAATGCAAACTAAAACAACATTGAGATTTCATCTCACTCCAGAAAGAATGGCCACCATCAAGAAGTCAACAAATAACAAATGCTGGAGGGGCTGTGGGGAAAAAGGAACCCTTCTCTACTGTTGGTGGGAATGTAGAATGGTGCAACCACTATGGAAATCAATGTGGAGATTCCTCCGTAAACCAGGATTAGAGGTTCCCTTCAACCCAGCTATTCCCCTTCTGGGTGTATTTCCAGAAGAATTGAAAACATCATACTATAGTGGTATATGTGCACTCATGTTTATAACAGTGCAATTTGTCATAGCTAAATCTTGGAAACAACCCAAATGCCCATCAGTTGAGGAATGGATAAAAAAGATATGGTATTTTTATACAATGGAAGTATTACTCAAGAAGTAAAAAAGATAAACTCGAGGCTTTTATAGGTAAATGGATGCAACTAGAGACCATACTCATAAGTGAAAGACATTAGAACTACATGTGCAAACATCATATTGTCTCCCTAGTGTAAGAACTTGAAAAAGTAATTTATATCTGAAAGATACAATAGACATTGTGAAGGGACAGAAGTTACTCAAAGGGAAGGAATAAATGGGATGAAGGGAAAAGAAAGAAAGAAGGGCAAAAATATCTATGGATATACAAGGATAGCTGGGATAAATGTACTGCTGATGTCTATTGGTTTATTGACAGGCACAGTTAATGCTTACATTTTTCTTTTTCTGATCATTTTGCATGATTATATCTGGTAATCTGAACAACTAATTTGAAGATAACAATAATGCAATATAACAACCATTGTTCAATCCCTACTATCTTGATTAGTGAAACTCTGTATCATTTCTAATGTTCTTTTTATTCTCTTTAATTGTTTAATAATCTTTGCATTTTTACATCTGGTAATCGGAGCAACTTAGTTGAAGATAACAATATTTAATATAACAACCATTGTTAACTTCCTATTACCCTGTTTTGAAAATCTGTATCATTTTTATTGTTTTTCTGTTGTTTTGTTTTTGTCTTGGTTGTTGGTATTTGGTTTCCTTTTCTCTTTAAAAGTAAAAAATAAAGGTTGGGTTGAAAAATTGTGGCAATGAAAACATCTGATTTATACAACAATAACACCAACAACAATTACATCTAACATCTATGGAGTATTTGTCACACAGTAAGTTCTTTTCGTTCCTTTTTTGTTTTTTCTCTTTTTGAGACAGGGTCTCACTATGCAGTACAGGTTGCCCTTGAACTCACTTTGCAGCCCAGGCTGGTCTGGAAATTGCAAGCATCCTCCTGCCTCAGCCTCCCAAGTACTGGGATTATAGGTGTGCACCACCATGCCCGGCCTAAGTCCTTTTCTAAGAGTAATGCATACATTATCTTATTCTCAATAGTCACATATGTGTACTGTTTTCATTTTATAGAAGTGGATAATTAAGATGCCAAAGTTCCCAAAGCCAAACAGCTAGTTTGTGGGAAAGCCTGGGCTCTTACCCAGAGAGGGTAACTCCAGTGCCAGAATTCTTAACCATAGTCATAAACTTAACAGGTTACTTAAGTTACTCTCAAACAAAATCTTATGTACAGAGCAAAATGACCTAAAAATATGTAAAGGATTCATAGGAATAAAGAAGTAACAGGATGGAGACTGAATGAAAGGAAAAAAATTACACGAAGCTGAAGAATAAGGCAGAATTTTTAAAAGGGTCAAAATAAATGGCAATATAACTTTTAAGATTTTTAATGCTTAAAATGAAATGTACCCTCAAATATAGTCATAAATGTAAGTCCAAAGATCAAGAAAAAAAACTTTCAACTTGTCCATGAACTAAAATTTTCTATTTGCTCGCATGAGAAAAAAAATCATTATACCTCCTTATACATACACTATTCTAGTCTGTCAATAATTAAATAACTTATTTTAAAAATTGCAACTATTATAGAGTTAGTATTAGGTATATTTTATACTAAAATTAAAATTGCAATATAAATCTACAGAGAATATCTTATTATCATAATTGTAACTTATAATGAAATAACAGCAGCACAACAGTTGTATGTGTATGCGTGTGTGTGTGTGTAAGCACATGCATGTGACACACAGTCTTAATATGCATCAGACTGGCTGTGGTGAGGGCCTATGTCAGTGGTAGTGAACCTGTGGCACACGTGCTGCAGTGGGCTGTTTGTACCATTGAAAACTCTAAAATGTTTGCTAACATTGGCCATGCAGTGCCCATTCAAAAAATACAGCACATGAGGAGTTGGTCTACTGTAGTACAGATAGGTTAGTGACAACGGCCTAATTTTTTTTTTTTTTTCCCGGTACTGGGAATCGATCTCACAACCTCGCACTTGCCAGGCAGGTGCTGTGCTGCTGAGCTAAATCCCCAGCCCCATAGCCTAATTCTTGAAGGGCAACTTTTTCAATACTAGTTAGCTGAAAAAAGAATGTATCTTGTCCTAAATGTAAAGGATGAATTCATTTCTACAGCTGTGTGATAAAATGTCCTACAAGGGACAACCTTTACTATTAGTTACTCAGAGTGAACCATAAATCCATGTGAGGATTGTCTGTTCCACTTAAATACTCAGATGCTATTTCAAACAAAAATGAGTAGAAGTAACAGGAAGAGGTTTTCATTACCTACATATAAGAACACACTGTGACTTCATGATGTAAACCGAATCATCTATACATAGAATCTACTGACAATTTACATTAATCCTGTACTATAACTTAACTTACATACACGTTTGCATAAGTAATAACTTTAGACATATAATTAAATAGCCATTAAGACTGAAATTTGATTTTCAATATGTTTGTGGGTTTTTGTTTGTTTTTGAGAAAATATCTTGTGATGTAGTCCAAACTGGCCTTTAACTCACTATGTAGCCAGGGTAGCCTCGAACTCATGTTGATGCTCCTGCCTCAGCTCCTCCAAGTGCTGGGATGACAAGTATGCGTCACCACACCCAGCTTTTGTTTGTTTGCTGTTTCTGTTTTGTCGATATGTTTTGAAGTAGAAATAAAATGCTTTAACAATATAACATTATCAAATTAAATATTACAAAATATTAATAGAGATTTCTTTGCTTTAAAATTAAACCATCAACATAAAGGTAAAGATGCAAATTATAAAACAAATTAAAGACGAGAAGTTAGAGACCTATATTCAATTGTCAAATTATGTAGCTAACAATGCAAATTCAAGACACACATACAACTCTAATTAATAAGCCAGGAGAAGATGCACTTGAAAATTCTTCAGTACAAGAATGTTATATAAATAAAGAGAACATATAAATCACCAGCATTTTTGAGAGTCTCTTTTCCAGGTCATACATAATGAAGCGAGAATGAGTATTCAAAACTACAGGGACTTTCTTACTGAAAGGAAAAGGCAAGTTCATTAATGCAGTTGCTCCTTAATCTAGCCTACCTTATTTTTTGGATTGGATGTGTTCATTACACTTCGAGTTTCTTTTCCAGTATAAATGACAACACCTATTACAGTACCTGCAAAAACACAAAAGTGGTCTTTATAGAAATCCTTCAAAGGGAAGCAAAGAGATAACACTTTCTAATTGTTTTGATGAAAATATATTACATTACTTGGCTTTATATACATTTACCCAACAGTCTATTTAACTTAACTAGTTCAAGAAAAACCTATCCTTGAGCTTTCAATGAACTTAAAAAAAGTGAAACGATTTTTTATATAACACAAATTTACCCACATGTATTATTTAAAATGCACTAACATCCTTTCCCTTGACAGAAGAAAGGGTGGCTTTTCATTATTACCTACTGCAAATGGTGACTCAACACTGACTGTGTTCTTAACTGATGGCTGCATCACAAGACCTCCAAATCCATGGAACTGGGAGAACAAGCTTCTTAGAGCAAGACTCCACCTCCACTGTACATCAAGACTAGAAGAAGATCTGCTAAGTTTCATCTCAAGTGCACATAATCAAACAATAGAACAATTCATTAAAATGTTTTGATTTCCCATTTAGAAGCTATTACTTCCTTTTATTTATGTCTCTGAAAGTTTCATATTTAGATTTTTATATGCTAAGAAGATATGATAGTTTTTAAACAGAAAAGAATATCAAAATATCCTCCTGAAGGATCATGTATCTCTGAACTGTCAGCCTATAATTCCAGCACTATGGAAAGCTGAGACAGGAGGATTGCACATTCAAGACCAGCTTGGGGAATTTAGCAAGTCCTTGTCTCAAGTAAATGAATAAATGAATAAATGAAAAATAAATCAGTGAGTAATAAATGGATAAATGAATAAATGGATGGATGGGTGGATGGACAGATAGATGGGGAGACTAGGGCTACAGCTCAGTGCAAAGGCCATGGGTTCATCCACACACACATACCATGGACCCCTCATTTTACCCTTAAGTTTTGTTAAGTTTCAAGGGGTAAACATAATTACAGTGAGAAAGACTATAATCTTTGAAATTAACAACTACCTCAGAATTAATGACTATACAAAAACTCTTTGATGTCACATTAATTTTACATATGAGATTTAGCAAATAAGTCAGAATCCAGAAAGTAAATATGAACCATCTCTCAGTTTCTTAAGAGGCACTGACAACTGCATGTGATATATCATATAACTTACAGCTTTCTTTCTAGTAAGCTCAGAAAGATGGAAGATGTTAAAGGATTCTTCAATAGTGGTTGTGTACAGAGGTTACATGCCTTTCTTTTTAAATTAGGGACTATCAGGAAGGCTATCAGGCTTCAGTTTGCCAAAAGAATGGTCAGCACATGAATGACCTGTAAGGTCACTCGAATGTATAAATGCTGTGTTTATGTACTACTATCTACATAAAATACCTAGATGAGATGACTACACTTAGTGTACAGAAAAATATTAAATACATAGGATGTAATGCCATGAAAGCTTTCAAAAAACTTCCATCATTGATTCTTTAAAAGTTAAAAGAGAATAAAGTAAAATGTTAATATGACCTGGTCAATACTTTGTTACTATTTTGCCAATTTAACTTGATAAAAATGTATAAGTGTCACTAATGTTGAATGATCACAATGACAACAAAGCAAATTACAAGATTAATTTCTTTTAACATTAACAGAATGATCAAGCCTCAGAGAAAGAAGCCATCATAATAATAAACCAAACTAAAAACCCTTCCTCTAAAAGCCCAGGCAGATTATGAGCAATGTGGATTTTAGCTAACAGTATAATTTACAGTACCTTAAGAAAATGTGAGAAATGGCAAAACAAGTAACAAAGCATTCATAGCAAGTATTGTATGAAATTTCTGATGCTGTATTTGTATAATCTATTAATGTTTGCTAAAGGTTTTCATATGTATTCCCTCACTTGATTCTCTCTCAAAATGAGTACTCATTGGAATTACCTTAAATACATTGCTTTTCTGAGTCTTGTGATTTTAACTACTAAAATTGCTAGACTCAGTACAGGAATATATGTCAATCATTTCTATTCTTTTAGACAATAGCTATGTGTTTATGGACTAGGATAGCTTGAAAGACTGATAAAGCATGTATATAGAAACATGGGAAGAGGAGTGCAGTGGCACATGCCTGTAATCCCTGCACTTGGGAGGCTTAAGTAGGAGGGTCACTCTGAGTTCAAGGCCAGCCCAAACTACACAAATAAATAAATAAATAAATAAATAAGAAATATGGGAAAGGGAAAAGTTGTCAATTTGCCAACTGAGACATGAGAGGACAAGAAGACACGACACACTCTTGTATCACATCAGAAAATGGAAGAACAAATATAATATACATAGGCTATTTTAAGATTTCCCATTAAATATTTAAATGGAACCATTTCAAAACTTTGCATTTTAAGTATAGAATTAAGTTCCCTTCTCCCTGGCTCCAATTTACCAAGCTTCTATTTGAGAAAGACATAAATTTAGGAATATGTTTATATATTAAAACCATCAACTCAAAAAAAAAATAAACAGCTACCATGCCACAGAGTCCCTAAAAGTAATCATGATACAGTATTAACAAATAAAAGTCTTAGTTCAATTTTACCAAGAAAACATTTTTAAAATTTATGAGTATGTAATCTTGAAAGCCAGTGATTACAGTTACCTGACACAATTACATACTTCAAAATGACTATAGTTAGTCAAAAATCAAGAGAAAACAATTCAGATGCTGGCTGTCCCAAACAGGAGGCATACATATAAGGTACTATTAACTAGAGGTCCAGGCTCTGTGACTAGCTCATAGGGGTAAAATATAAAGATCACTTATGAGGTCCATTTGCATTACTTCAAATTTCAGCCCTATCACACTTTCACTTGAATGGGACAGTTGGTATGCATGACCTACACGTTACACACTACTGGGAAAATTTCATACAAAACCCTACCAACTTCTAATTAACATAGTTTTATTATAAGCCAGCAGCAGTTTTTCTAATACTAAGAAAATAATGCGGACACGGTCAACTGTAGGGTGAAAAGGTATTCTTTTCCATATTTAATTTGAATGATGACAAAATATAATTTAGCAGGTCAAACTGACTACCCTTCTTAATATTTTAAATGATCAGCATATTGTAACACTTTCACGGTTGGATCTTTTAACCACAGAGGTATGCTGAATTTATGCATTATCAATCCTTACAAATTCAAAGTCATTTTAAGATGATTCATGAAAAAAATTATAAAACCTATAGCATTATAACAGTTTAATGGCTTTAAACCGCTTGATTAAAAAAAATGCTTACTTAAAATTTTAAAACAAAAAATAAACACTTCGTGTACAAGAAACAAGAAGAGCTGTCAAACAAAGTATTCACTGACTATGGAAACGTGTTAAGATTCTGTAAAAACAAGCTGTGAGGACCAAGGACACCAGGCAGGCACCGACTACAACAGACAGATCACCAATCCTCAAGAATGTCAGGATCCATACTGCTCCCTAATAAGCAGCTTTCATATGCTGGGCTGGGCCTCACAAAGAAGCAAATAGGCACCATAAGCAAAGGTAAGAACACCATCTATCACATACCAAGCAAGTTCCAAGAGCAAAGAAAGAAAAAAATGAACAGCCTCAAGAAGTCAACAACTACACCAAGACTGTGGACACAGAGCAATAAAAAGACATAAACCAGGTCTGATGTCCACCTAGCCAGAGGAACAGACAGGGACACATTGAGACCTGCCCCTCAGTCATGGATTTCACAGTGCTGAAGGCACAAAAGGGACACACAAGATCTGCACCCAGGTCTGGACCATATACAGCCAAACACACACACACACACACACACACACACACACACACACACACACAGGGGTGGGGAAAGGGAGAGGGAGAGGGAGAGGGAGAGGGAGAGGGAGATGGACAGAGTCAGGGACAGGTGAAGGGGGAGCAGGGAGAGCAAAGGGGAGGGAGATGGACAGGGAGGGAAGACACCTACACGTGGGTCAGATTGACAGAGAGGGACAAACCAGACCTGCACCCAGGTGTAGCCACCACAAAACAGTCACAGAGACACATGACAACTACACCTAAGTGTGGAATCTACATAGCTGAAAACACAGAGAGGAACACATGAGACCTGAACCAGGGAAAGGGTCTACAAACCATGGATAGAAAGCATCATCAGGGCAAGAGCAAACTCTGGACACAACTTAGATGTCCACCTATCAAGCCCACACAAGTAGCATCCACCCTTCTGTGGCACCCATGACCTCAGTTTACAGCTTCTCTTCCTCGTAATTTCTAATATTCTTGACATTATCCATGTACTTGATAACCAAGGCCAGTTTTTGTCCTTCATGGCAATTCTTTGGGATTGATCCATCAGGTATCTTCCTACCAGGACAGAGGTCTCTTTTCATGTCAATCCTAACTGTTAATCAATTTAACAAGAGGAGTTTATCAAACAGTACTATATGTAGAAAAGGCAAAGATTTCATTTTGAAAGCTCCATTATGAATTCTAATTTTGCAAAACAATAAAAATGAATGCAGAAGAAAATAAAAACGAAGTACAAGAAAACATACACTCCAGTTTCTTCAGCATTAATAAACTATATACAACTGCTAAAGTTTTCAAATGTGTATTCTCAATTTATCTGTTAATCACAGTAATTCCTGGAATGCCCAATCTGTGCAGACTTTTTTCTGCCCTCCTTTTTGTTTTTTTGGTTTTTCTCCGGTACCGGAAACCGAACTCATGACCTTGTGCTTGTGAGGTAGGCGCTTTGCTGCTGAGCTAAATCCCCAGCCCTTTTCTGCCCTCCTTGACGGCTTTGTCCTTCTACTACACTCCTGGCAACTCTGTATCAGGACCTTAAAGAAACAATGTTCTCTCAATCAATAGGGCACATGATGGACACAGCAGCACAGGAAGTTGTCTGTATTCCCCTTGCTTACTCACTCCCCTATGGATCTGACTGTATGATAGGAAGAAGGTTCAAGTTCACCTTACCTTAAGAGGCATCTTGTGGATGGGGGTATAGCTCTTCAGTAGAGCACTTGCCTAGTTTACATGATGCCTTGGGTTTGATCTCCAGCATCAAAACCCAAAACAAAACAAAAACTACTTTGATATGCACTTCTCGAATGACTAATGATGGTGAACAGTTTTTCATGTATTTATTCGCCATTAGTACCTATTCATTAGAGAAGTGTATATTCATCTCAGATGCCCATTTTTGGATTGGGTCTTTGAATTTGTGGAGCCTGATTTTTTTTTAATTCTTTACATGTCCTAGATAGAAGTCCTCTGAGGGGCACTTGGCTAAAATTTCTTCCCAATTCGTGGGTTTTCTTTTTACTTTAGTGGCGATTTCTTTAGATGTGCAAAAACTTTTCAATAAGATGAGATCCCAGTTGTTGATTCTTTGAAGTATCTCCCATGCAGTTTGGTTTTTGTTCATGAACTCTCTGCCTACCCCAATGTCGTCAAGATTTTCAGCTACTTTCTCTTCTAATAAATTTAGTGTTTCTGTTTTAATATTTAGATCTTTGATCCATTTTGACTTTAATTTAGTGCCTGGTGAGAGACATTGGTCTAGTTTTAGTCTTCAGCATGTGGAAAGCCAATTTTTCCAGCACCATTTATTAAAGAGGCTATCTTCCTTCCATTGAACATGCTTGGCTCCTTTGTCGAAGATAAGGTGAGTGTGTTTGCAGTTGTATCTTTATCTTCTAATCTGTTCCATTGATATTCAGGTCTGTTTTTGTGCCAGTACCATGCTGATTTTACCACAGTAGCTTTGTAATATAATTTTAAGTCAGGAATTGTGATGCCTCCTGCCCTTCCTTTGTTTCCCAAGATTGCTTTGGCTATTCTAGGCTCACCCCAGAAAGAATGGCTCACCCCATCTCACCCCAGAAAGAATGGCTATCAACAAGAAATCAACCAATAACAAATGCTGGAGAGGCTGTGGGGAGAAAGGAACCCTACTCCACTGATGGTGGGAGTGTGTAGACTGGTGAAACCACTGTGGAAATCAATTTGGAGATTCCTCACAAAACTAGGATTGGAAGTCCTATTTAACCCACGTATTCTCCTTCTGGGTATTTTTCTCAGAATTAAATCATATCATATCACATCAAATCACATCATATCATAGCTATATATGTGCTTCCATGTTTACAGCAGCACAATTTGTTATAGCTAAATCTTGGAAACAACCCAGATGCCCATCCACTGAGGAATGGACAAAAAAGTTGTGGTATATTTATACAATGGAATATTACTCAGATATTAAAAAAGATAAACTTGAGGCTTTTGTAGGTAAATGGATACAACTAGAGACCACACTCATAAGTGAAATAAATCGGACCCACTTGTGTAAACATCATATTGTCTCCTTGGTGTAGGAAACCGAAAGACTAGGTAAAACCAGGTAAAACATACAACAGATGACAGGAAAGGGAAAGAAACTGCTCAAAGGAAGGAACGACTGGGATGAGAGAAAGAAGAAAAAGAAGGAAGGCAAAATATAAATATATGTATATATATGTGAATAGCTGTGATAACTATATTGCTGATGTCTGATTGTGTATTGAAATGAACAGTTAATGCTTACTATTTTTATGTTCTGATCGACTTTGCATGCTTGTGTCTGGTGGTCTGAGTAACTGATTTGAAGGTAACAATATGCACTGGAATTACAACGGTGAACTTCTACCATCTTGTCTAGTGATACTCTGTATTATCTCTAATGTTTTATCGAAGAAATATTTTCTTATTCTCTTTAATGGTTTGAGCAATCCTTCATTCTTATGTCTGGTAATCTGAGCAATGTACTTGAGGACAGCGGTATGTAATGTAACAACCACTGTGGATTTGTATTATTTTGTCTTTAGACCCAGTATCACTTTGAATGTTCTTGCTCTGATTTGTTTATGCTCGTGATACTGGTATGCCACTACTGCTCTATTTTTTGTTTGTTTGTTTCTCATTTACTACTCTCTTTAAAATACAAAAAAAAAACTACTTTGAATTGCTCAGGACATGGTGATCTGGCAATAGATTTTGGTAATATTTACATGAGTGATTATCTTTTACAATAAAGATAAATATGCCTTAAAAGATTTGAAATTAAAGGAAAAGATTGCATTGTATGGATAGCCAAACATAAACTAACATTAAAGACATGTTTAGTTAACCTTTCTAGGTAGATGGTTTAAAACAACTTCTCAAGTACTTTGGCACTGAACACTCAATGGCCTTAGAAAGCAAGAAAGAGTATGATATGACAAATATATTAGGATGCATAATTTGGTGACCCCTTTGTCAAAGCATGCAATCAGGAGATAATACTCGCCAAGGTCATACAGACTATTAAGGTCAAAATAGATAAACTGTTCAGAAAATTATATGGCTGTCTCACAAGCCTTTAGATCATGTTGGTTCTATCCCTTTGAGGAGAAAGGCAACAAATCAATAGTACTGAGGATTAATGCTAACATTCTAATACTGTTTAAAAAGAAAACAGAGAACAAAACACCAAACAAAATTTATTTTAAAAGAGAACCTCCTAATATCTTTAAAATGACCTTTAATTTAAAATAATAATATCATGCTAAATACAGAAAGTTTTAAATTTCTGACCAAATATGAGATTCTATATCCCATACTGCAGATGCTTTCTTGCAAACTGCTAATTTTGAGGGCAATGGTTTTCTAAAAATGCAAGCCTGGACTCAAATGCTGGTCCAGCTTCTGTCTGGCTCTGTGCCTGGCCAAAGCTCACTGAATGCTAACAGATCTCAACAGTCCATGGTTGTCAACAATGCAAATGCAACAGCGATTTGAGGCAAGTGTGAGTGTGTCCCTGGTTGCAATGCCTCCTCTCTCCAGGCACTGTGAAAACTCTTCCTGTGGTCTCGAGCCAGAACCTGGCATTCCTACCTCTCAGGTCTCTTCACTAAGTACCATCCTAACTTCTTTTTATCCTTTTACATTTTGAATAACTAAAAAGACATGTAAGAACGAAAATATCAAATACCTCAGAGAATTGACAACTATTAGGCTTCTCATATTTGCCCTCATCCTTCTTCAAAAATAAGAAGCATTAGGATAAAAGTGAACACTCTTTCATATTCTATCCTAGAAGGCAAATATACTCTCTCAGGTGCCAGTTGTGTACTCTGGCATACAGCAGGCCCCCATGCAAATAGGAACACATAGAAATGTCCTGCTGTGCCTTACTTCTTCCCTCCCACAGACCAGGCACCCTGACATTGAAGTCTTCTTCAAGGTATTGTGTTCTGTCAGTACCAGACCTTCACACAGCTGTCCCCACACCCTTCCTGCCATCCATCTCACTTGGTTCACATCTACAGATTCCTAAAATTGTTTAAACATCTGTTCTTCAGAGAATCCTACCCAAGATTGTGTCTCTATAAAGTTCTTAGTATTCACACATTTCCACATCACATGGTACTTTTCTGTGGACTTAGTGTAGCTGAAATTATCTGGACTACTTTCTAATCTTCCCACCGCACCATAAGCAACCCAAGGATATGCTCCATTACCATTTGTTCTAAGTGGAATCCCCAGTCCTAATGTGTAATAGATCATCACACAAAACCATCAGAAGAATGGGTGCTGTAGGACAGAAGAGCTACTTGCACTGAACCATGCTGAGCAGACAGACAATTATAAAAATTCTAACCTAATTATGGCTTCTAGTGTCATCTCGCCTCTCACAATATCCTGTAGCTGAGCTTTGCTCCTGTTGCTGCCATGAACACAATACAATTCTGCTGGCCTTTCTTCCCATCATCATCTATGTCAACTGCCTTTGTGGAGCTTCACTCCTGGTATCAGTACCAATGCCAATTCATTTCTGATCCTCATCAATGTCAACCTACTTTTGATAAGGACAGAATTATTTACATTTTCAATATAATTCATAGAAATTTACTTACAAAAATGTCTTGTTTAAGTAGCTTCTCTTTTAAAAGCTACAAAGACTCTACTATCTTCGAATCTCCCTTACATAAAATTCAGAATTTTTACCCCAACCCTAAGCCCTGACATGATCTATTTCTACTGGCCTGTCAGATCTCCTCTAATAGGTTTGTCCTCCAGTCACTACAACCAGTTTCCTCTTTCTGTCTTACAAATAAATGAGAAGTGGGTGAGAGCCATCTAAAATTAGCACTTAACTCTGTTTTATCACTTCTCATTAAGACACACCAAGAATTGTATCAAGAAACACATATCAAGACCCAGAAAAACGGTCCTGTGCTTTTCTATGAAGGCTGCATCACCACCAACACCTTCTAGCTACTCCAGGCGTCATGGGTAACCAGTAGCACAGAACTCACCAGATTCTCAGGAGTGTCCCATACCTACTCAAGTGGAGGTCCCTACACATTTCAGGCAATCATGAGGAAGGTATCTGGTAGGCATGCATACTCTATGAGAATTCACATTTGAAGAACTTTTTTTGTACCTGATGCGACAATGGTGCTTGCCCACAATGTGTTTTCTATGCTGAGGCTTTCGTGAACAGGAGGGTCACTGTCTTCCTGTTTGGGGGTAAAAAAAAAAAAATGGAAAATTAATGGTTTTTTTCTTATTATTCATGCTTTAGATATCTCCAGTGTTAGAAACATGTCCACAAAATGGATCCAAGTGAACAGAAGTAAAAAGTCATTGTAAAATAGGAATTTAAAATATACATATATATTTAAAAAGGTAAAGTTGTAATCTGAAAGAGCCATCTTACTTATTTTTAATATTCCATTTTAATATAAATAACGTTAAATTTTTTCAAACCACTAAACATTCTGATATTTTAAGAGAATATGCTAAAAATCATATCTTCAAACATTTAGCCTGATAATATTCCTGGAATAAGAACTGCTGTCCTAGAACGCTGGAAATTAGCGGTTTAGTGATAATTACAAGTGAAATCACCAATGGTTATTTCATGTGCATAGTAAAATTTTCTCGCCATATCTTTTGTCAATGACAAAGAATACACTTTTCAAGTATGTACCTGCTCATAAGAGAAAAAAATGCTTCTGCGAACACCACTGTAATACATGAGAAAAGTCATTTAAATTTTTCTTTAAAAATACTCTATTGAATATTTTCTTTAAACAAAATTCAAACATAAGCTGTATGTTCCTAATTTTGTATATAAGTATCAAACAAAATTGGGCAAAAAGCTACATTTTGCCCTCACTGCCAGGAATCTCCCTTAAAACGATGCCACTTCCAAAAGAACTTTATTATATTTTATATTTATTTGTATATTTATATTATTTATTTTTATGTATATCATTTATTTAAAATATTTATATGATATTTATATTATTTATATCATATTTTATTGTTTGCCAATAAATCTGCCAATATTTAGAAAGTAGAATTATTTCAAACAAATTTAGTTTTGAGAAAGAACTTGGCCCACAGCTACCTCTAGGTATCAGAAAGCATCCTGCATTTCATGGGCTGTGTTCAGATCTGTGTCTTAGGACTACACAGATCCCTAACACCTCTCTCTAGTACCTTAAGTAGCCCATACCCTGACTGAAGACTTGCCCTTGTGAACACGATGAATGACCATAAGTGTTTCATAGCTAAGGTGCTCTTTCTTTAAACAGAATTATTGCAAGAACACAGAAGACAGAGTTCTATACCTATGCTTTAGTTATATGATCTGTAAATACAGGAGTTCATTCAACTTATTCAAATATATACTCAGTACCTTAATAGATATCATGCCTATGTTGATATGTATTCAGGATCTTAACAGATGGCTTGCCCCATTTTAGCATATATGCAGTATTTTCACAAACAACATTCCTGTGTTAGAAGCTATAACTGTGAAGAATGAAGGCATAGCTTATCTAAATAGTCGGGGTTCAATGCCATAGCAGCATCCTGGGGGGTAAATACCAAGGTGAGTGGAAGTGTCATGTAGCAAAGAAAGACAATACAAAGGCTATCTGCATGTGGGACTTGAGCTGGGTCTAGAAAACCGAACCCAGCAAGTACATCCAATGACGAGAGATCACCTATATCCACTCCAGTACGCAACCACTCTCTGCTTTTGTAGATACAAGTACTTTTTATTTTAAGGTCCATCAGAAGTTACTCCTTTCAAATGTAGTTTCTCAAGAAAAATAAGCTTCATTTAGTAGCTACAGTTTACCAAAAAAATCTATTGATATATTGTGGCATCAATAGGCAAAATACTAAGGAAATAGAATTTTAAGTGGAAAATAAGAGGCTTATACTATCTCAATATAAACATGTTTGTGTGTGGGGGGTGAAGAGACATGTCAAAGAGCAATATTAGTGTTTACGTTTCTGAGTTATTTTTACCGTACCATGGCAATTTCTATGTTTGTTTTTTGTATAGGATTGTAAGCTAAACAACTACAGAATGGACATTTACCTTTCTTGCATGGAACAGGCACTCAAACTTGTCCAACACATCAATAACCAAAGAACAAACTTTAAACTCCTCTAATTTCCACACATGTGTGACACTATCCATGCTGTGCTTGCTGCTAATCAAGCCATCTATGTGCATCTTTCAAGCTACCTTTCCTCCTATCCCAGCAGCTACCACCTTCAATTTACCAAGAAAATGAATACAATTTCATACATTTAAAAGTGTTCCCAAAGCTTTCCTTAATCAGAAAGTTTTAAAAATTATTCACACATGCATACTTTTTAGTATAATATTTCCTCCTACGTCAACAAGAAAACGGGCATTAAAATACATAAAATTTTATAAGGCTTCTGAAGTACAGATAAATGGTGTACACAATTTAGTTTAGAAATTTAAGTTGGCTCTCCCATTACTTTCCTATAACCATTTAATTGTATGAATGTTTTTGTCTAAGTTATGTATTGAAGAATGCACAATTATCTATGCATTTTCTTTTCAATTCTGTAATAGCAATGATAGACTTTGAACATTTTTCTAATATCAAGAAAATTATTCTTTTTACCAATCTCATGAAGTATGGAATAAGGATTAGGAAGATGAAAAAGAAATTATCTCTAAATAACTTAGTTTCCCTTGCCTTAACATTATACAATTTGAAAAGACAAAAATCAGCTTTGGGGGTAGAATATAAAATGTTTCAATTTCAAGCTGTTCTCTCAATAGTGTATTCTATTTAACAGACAATAAGGATTTTTTTTTTTTTTTTTAAAAAAAGAGTATTTTGATTGGAAAACACATGAATGATGTTAAGTATGCTCTGGTTTACAAAAGAAATTTCAGCAGAAAATGCATTGTAAGAAAGCTTAAATGGGGAAGGTAATGGTAAAAAACTACAGAAACCACTAAAACTTCAAGACTGGCTAATTTTGAACTCAATACTTCCAAGAGAATGGCCATATCTTGAACAGTATGTGAGATTAATATCAGCAATGACCATATGAATTACTACACCAAACACTGCACAACCAGGTTGTCCTGATGCCATGTGGAAGGAGGCAGAGATAGTCACCACTCACAATATGCGTATCTGTCTCAGCTCCATCACAGGCAACAAAATGCAGAATGTTTCTCCTGCCTCAGAAGCAGCCCAGAATTAACTGGCTCCAATATTTATGTATTCAAATTTATCCCTACAAAGGTATATCTTCTCCTTTATATTATACTATTAAAAAGGAAAATAAACAAATGCCACTTTTTCACAAGAATTTCAATAATTAAAATGAATTCTATTTTCTAGGTATACTAGTTATTTAATACATCTGCTTCTATTTGGAAAATGCACACAAAATAAAGATTTTTCATCTTGAATAACCCAAAATTCTACATTGATGTATTTAAAATAAGAAAAATAAAGCCATTAGAAATGTTACAAGGGATGAAAGATCTTTTATTTGAATTATACCCCTTAAGAACTTGCAATAGTTCACACAAGGTAAATGTGTCTTAAATTAACTTAAAATTCTGAATTAAATCTCTCTTTCAGTGGAAGCATATCTTCCAACAAAATTTTACCCTTGTTTCATCAATGTGCATCACATGTGGCACCTTTATCTGTGTTCTGAATGGAAGGATTCCCATCGTCCTCTGTTCTGACATGAAATGATTCCTACCTCTATGGAAATACCTCAGAGACACAAAATCATCAATAGGACAATTACAATTGCTTCTCATGCCCCTTAGGTTTGCTACCTATCAGTCCACAATGCCCCAAAACCTTTCTATGAGGTATCTGCTTCAATCTAAAACACTGACCCAATTGACTCTTAGATGTTAAAGTATTAGATATCTCTGGGTGATAATAACCCTCTATAAATGATACAAAAACAATGAAGTACACATACAAAAGTAACACTATAAGATAACCTAGGGGTTTTATTTTCTTTGTTAGAATAGACATTGAAAAGCTACCCAGAGCCAGGTGTGGTGGCTCATGCCTGTAATCCCAGCACTCAGGAGGACGAGGCAGGAGGATTGCCGTGAGTTCAAGACCAGCCTGGGCAGCAGCAGCCCAGAATTAACTGGCTCCAATATTTAAGTACTCAAGTTGGTCCCTACAAAGGTATATTTTCTCCTTCATATTATACTATAAAAAAGGAAAATAAGCAAATGTCACTTTTTAACAAGAATTTCAACAATTAAATTGAATTCCATTTTCTAGGTATACTAGTTATTCAATATGTGCTCTGAATGGGTTACAAAGTGAGTTCAAGGCTGGCCTGACTGCATAGCAAGACCCTGTCACAAAAAGACAAAAAGACAAAAAAAAAAAAGAAAGGTCACCCAGTTATCTACCTCCTATGTGTCTGCTGCAGTTAAGTTCTATGCTCTCATACTGCTGATATGCACTGCACAGGGAGTAAAGATAAGGGCACCAGCCTGAGGGGAGGGCACTGTTCCAGACCTCCTTATCAAGCACTAGGCCTGTTCCCATTCCTTCTCTCTTCCAGCTAAGCATTTTTACATTGTGTGTGCCACCTGGAAGACTCCTTGAGACTGGCTCTCATGCAGGAAAAGAGGGAAGTACAAACATTTCTGAGGTACTCACATATTTTCTGATTAGTCTTCCTAAGAATCCTAAAAGGTAAGACTAAAGAGGAGGTGGCACTGAGCCAGGGTCAGACATCTAAAAAGTAGCAAAGCCATAATTCAAATCCAGAGGAGAAGGTTATCACTAAGTGTCTTATTCAATTTTCACCTGATATAACAGAACACCAAATTAGGTAATTTGGTTCATAGTTCTGGGGGCTGGGAAAGAACAAGATCAAGGGGCTACACGTGAAGTGGGCCTCCTTGTTGCATCATAACATGGCAAAAGGCATCACACAGCAAGAGCATGTGCAAAGAGAAGAGGAGAAAGGGACTAAACTCTCCCTTATATCAGGTACCCACTCCTAAACCACTCCGCCACAGCAGTTTTCCTTCACTGATCAAGGCAATCTTTAGGACCTAATCACCCCTTAAAGGTCCTGCCTCTTACTGTACTGGTACTAAGGATTTAGTATCCAGCACATGAACTTTGGAGGAAACATTCAAATTACAGCATCCAGGAAATCATGTGCTGTCAACATTTGAAAACTTCCTCTGATCTATATAAGAAAATACAGCAGGTTGTGGCAGTGCACAAAAACTGTAGAAATTCATGAGTATTCTCTTCTATTAAAAAAAAAAACACAGCCTTAAGGCGGAAACATAGAATGCACATCAACTATAGCACTGAAAAAGGCCAAAAAGGTCAGCATTAGCAAAAGATTAGTCCTTTTTTTTAATTTTGGATTTCTGTCATCTATTATTTGCTGTGCTTCAAGCATTGAAATGAGTCCATGTGAATAAGATATGCTGTACTCATATTTTGCTGTAGCCTGTCACTACTTCACAGATCCTTAGTCTTTCTAGCACTTGAGTGAGTATATAGGTTCACCTCTATTCTGGTTCATGTTTCAGTGAAACCTAACGGCTGTATCTATATTGAATGTGTACAGACTTTATTTTCTTGTCCTCATTACCTAAAAAATACAGCATGACAACTATTTATGTAACATTTGCACTAATTTGGTGTTTTATGTAACCCAGAGATAATTTAAAGGACGTATATACGCTCTATGAACATACTGTCATTTTATATTAAGGACTTGATTGTTCATGGATTCTGGTATCCTAGGAGGAAAAAGGGCTTAGGGATTAATCCTTCACAGACACTGAGGGCTGACTCCACAATAAAGGAGGACTACTCCTATTAACTTCTCTAACAAGACTTAGAAGTAAAGATGACAACTGTTGCCTAAGGTTTTGCTCAATATAAAAAGTTATAAGGAAATGACATCACTGTCATCACCTTCGAGACTGACTATAAAGAGTCTGTGTCTTGTAATCCTAGCACACGGGAGGGTAAGGCAGGAGGATCGTTTCAAGTTTGAGACTAGTCTGGGCTACAAAGTGAGTTCAAGGCCAGCCTGAACTGCATAGTGAGACACTGTCTCAGAAAGACAAAAAAAAAAAAAAATTCAAACAATAACATTTGCTCACCAAATCTATGTGACCAAGAGTGAAACAAAAGTGACTATTCCCAGAGAAATCTTTTAAAAACATTTTCAGCATTTAAAAACAAACTATAGTCATATATTTAAAAGCTATTATAAAGTTAAAAACAAACTATAGTCATATATTTAAAAGCTATTATAAAGTATTTTGGCAGTGAAAGCAAAACTTTTAGAGCTTTCAATGATACAAACAGCCCGCTGCAGCATGCATACCATAGGTTCACCACCACTGATTTATGGTATCCATTATAAACTGTTATAACAAGAAATATACAGTCTCCCTAATCTGGCAGTGAAGGGCACAGGGGCTTCAAGCTTTATATGGACTCTATAAGAATGAAAAATATGAAAATAAAACTAACATATGTACATAAACAAACATACACACACAGGCTGAGCATTTGTGACACACACCTATAATCCCAGCACTCTGGGATGTTCAGGTAGATGGCTTGCAAGTTTAAACCCAGCCTAGGAAACTTAGCAAGATTCTGTATCAAAATTAAAAATAAAATAAGGACTGGGGATGTAAAATAGTGTGAAAGCCCTGGACTCGATCCCCAGTTCTGGAAAAAAAAAACAGAAAGAAAGAAAAGAAAAGGCTAGATATATACATAGATACATATACATATTTAGATAATAAAAAGCTAGAAATAATGTAGGTACCATAGTGGATCTATTATTATGTAAAGTCAAGACCAAAATAGTTAACTTGTGTCATTTTGTTGACTCATATATTAGGGGAGACAGATCTTATCAACAGTAAATATGCTAAAAAAAAAAATTAAAAAACCTGTTCTGGGCATATCTACAGAGATAATACGTGATGTGGGTACATGTAAGATTTGGACGGTCTCCAGCTTCTCCTTTCTTAGTTCAGAGCTTCTATGTGAATTTATTCTTGATTACATTACTATCTCAAAACAAAGGTCTACTACCTTTAATTTATATATACAATGAGTATATTTGTATCAAACAGAAGAATTTAACTTACCCTGGTAAATGTTCCTTCAAAACTATGAATATCCAATTGTGGCTTCTGAGCATAAACATAAGCACTGATGGAAAAAAGGTCCTGGAATATAGAACATTTAAATTAATTTCAATATTATACTTAAATAAAATTGCTCAGAAACTTTTCAACTGCAAATTAAAATTTTTTGTATGTTAAGTACCAGAAGTGATCACTTACTGTTTTAGATTTTAAGTGCCAGCACCATGCATTAGGATGGATGATAACTGAAACAACAGCATTTAAACTCAGCAGAAGTGAGGCAATTTCTCTCTGCTTTGCCTAAGGACCAACATGCACCTAAAGCACATGGGAGATGCTAGAAGAACACATGTTGCCTGAGGCTATGCATACAATTCCAATTTTAAGGGTGGAGCTTGAAGTCCCAGGAATATCAAAGCATCAAGTAGGATCCTAGGCTCTCAGTGCTCTAAATGCTAAGCCTGATTCTATAAAAGACCCTGTCTACAAGGGACTGTAGAGAACAGGCACTCACAGACAGCTCTCAGACTTGGGCATGGCAGACTTCAGACTTATCCATGGGGTCAAAAACAACAAAATCAGACCTGAGGCTGGGGCGCTTATTCTCTGAGGGGATATCCATCTGAGCTTGAGCTGTGGTTGTGCTATGTTCCTGACATGAAGGCTGCCTGCACTCACAATCTGTGACCCTCAGCCAGGGCGAGAAGTTGGGGAGGCATTGAGCAACAATACTAAGCCTTCCACACCCTCAAAAAAAGGGAGGCTTGCTGCCTACAGCCTAACCCCAGGAGGATCTCACAACTGTTTGTTGTGCTTTGTGTTCAAACAGCTACAACTTGCAGCAATGAAGCAGGAATCTGACTCTATTTCCCCATTTTAGCAGGGTACACACATCTTAGGCAAGTTGAGTGCTGAGTGTGGCAGATCATAAAGTGAATGACCTCTTCCCAGGCCAATCCAAAGACAAATGATTAGGATAAAAGGGGTAAGGATTAGGCCCATTTTTAGTGTATTTGAAAATTCAGAATTTCCTCTTGACTGATTCTTAAACATAATATGTCTTTATGCCTAAGTTATATAATAATAGTCTGTATAAAAAATACTTTTGTCCCCTTTGCATGCAATCTCAGGTAAGAGAACTAAGAAGAATAGGAGACATAAAATGCCTGCCAAGTGGAACACTAAAATTTTTAACAGCAACAAAATCCAAACACCAAGGAGTGTAGACGGAGTACACTGGAAGTGAGGGATCAAATAATCCTTGTTCTCAAGACTATCTAGATCTTTTCCCTCTTGCCAAGGGGAGACTCTTGCTTCTGCCTTGGAAAGCTTCCACAATCCATGGAAGCTCAAACAGGCTGTGGAAGCTATGAGCACACAACAGTATACGGCTTATAAGAGAAATTCTCTCATGAATGGGCATTGCTTCAACTGGCTGAAGAGCACACCTGAGACCAATACTGCAGTTGTGGGAGTTCTGATTGTAACTTGCTGTACCAACGCACTAGCAAGTAGCATAGGTGGTTCAGGAGAGAGTCCACAAAGCCTTTCTGAGGTTCCTGATCTTCAAAAGGGCCTGAAACCAAGGCTGGGGTCTGGAAAGAAGGGTTTCAAGAAGATTACCACAATTCTTAGATAAGAAAGGATCACTGCACTGTAAACTATTTACACAAGCACTTAGTTTATCCTGAAGAGATTGGGAGGATTCAGGGTGGTATGGACGTACACACTTTGTCTATCCTGAATACCTGCTTTCCTTCTGGGACTCAGGAATCTTGCTATGTGCCAGGTAGACAGCTCCTATATGACTAGACCTCAATAAGAACCCTATGGAATAAGTTATTATTCCATAATAACTTCTGTTATCTGTGGAGTTCCAAGACAGATAACATTTCACAAATTTGTCACTTTAAGTAAATTGTGAATTAAATATCCCAAGTGACTGCTCTGGGGGAGGACCCTTGGAAATGTGTGTGTCCTCTGGACATTTTCCCTTGGTTGATTGGGCTGTGCATGCTGTGTCATACTTCCTCATGCAGGAACACAGCACAACCTTTCCCTGTAAGAAATCATGGCTTTGACCAGGATAACACTTAATCTGAGTCTCAGGAATTGAAAAAGTCGTCAAAGATAGGGGTGGACTTGATGATCCCTGATACAGTTTACTACTTTTATAAGTTTGATTTCCTTTCAGAATATATGTATGTGTGTAAATTTTTAGCATGCCTAAGAAAATTAGACACACAGACATGAAAAACCAGAGTTCTGAGAGTAGAGTGACCACTGGAGCTGAAAAGTGAGGGGGAAATCAAAATCTCAGAAAAGACAGCACTTTATAGAGAGCCTTAAAATCTGTACACATTATCACTGTGACCCCTAAAATATCATGACAGTGTATATTTCAAACTAAGCTAAAAGAAATGAGCAAAGACCTGGTCCAAGTTAACTACTGCTGAAACAAAATCAACCTGGTGTGGTGATACACACCTATAGCCCACTACTGAGAATGCTAAGGAAGAATTTTAAGACCAGGACTAGAGATGTAGCTCGGCAAAATAGTTCTTGGCTAGAATACACAAGTCCATGGGTTCAACCCCCAGTACTACCACCAAACCAGACAAACCAAAAAAAAAAAAAAAAAAAAAAAAAAAAGTGATGGAGATAGATCAGTTCCCCACGATGAATCTATTTGTTATGTTGTAAAATGTTGTATGTCTGTTAATGTTTCCCTCCTTTTATCCTTAAAATAAAAAAAAAAAAAAAAAAAAAAAAAAAAATCAAATCCTTAGAAGAAAATAATAGAGTCCTGTACTTCTACAATGTATCATTAATAAAACTCAAGGTAACAATCCCAATTTCTAAGCATATAAAGAAAGAAAAACATAAGATCAATATTCAAGAAAGTATGCAATCAGTAAAGACCAACCTTGAAATGATCTAATATCAGAATTAAGAGATGAAAATTTTAAAGCAGCTTTCTAATATCTCAAAGACTTAAAACATGATCCTACAACATAAACAAATAAGAAATCACAGCAAAGGAAAATACAGCTAAGAAAAAAAGAACCAAATTGAAACTCTTGATTTGAAAAGATACAGTATCTGAAAGAAATTCATCAGGCAGCCTTAAAATGAGACTGAAAATAACAGAATATAGTCCATGAACCTGAAGATTAAAAAAATGATTTTAAAAATGAATATAGCATCACAGCCACTGAGGAATATTGAAAAGTCTAATATGCTTGTAACCACATATGAAAAAGGAAAATAGGAAAGAAAAACCATCTGAAGAAATACTGTTATGGTGTGTGTCTGAATGTCCCCCCCAAAGCCTCATGCAGTCAGAAAACAAGCTTCTAGAGTTTATAATTGATCCACGGTCCAGTGCTGGGATTATGGGTGTGAGTGTTACACCCACCCTGGGTCAGGTAGTTTGCATACAGTGTAAGGGAGGCAAAGAGGCTGCCTGCCACTCTTCCCCTTTTGCTCTTGTTGCTTTTGCTGTTTTCCAACACCATGAACTGTTGCCCTCCGCCATGTGCCACTGTGCCTTGGAGCCAGCCAAGTATGGACTGAAATCTCCATAAACTGTGAGCTAAATAATCCTTTCCTTCCTTAAATTTGGGCATCAGGTATTTTTTCTCAGCAATAAGAGAAAAGTAACTAAGAGAAATACTAAATAAAAAATATGCCTGATTTGTTGACATCCAAACATACATAGATTCAGAAAGCCCTGAAAACCCCTAGAATGGTAACTTGAAGATATCAAACTCCAATTGTTAAAACTCTAAAGATAAAGAGGAAGAGGGGCCTAAAATCACCTAGAGAAAAATGACACCTTATGTACAAGGGAACAACGATCAAAATACCATTGACTTCTCACAACAAATAATCAAGGCAGAGGATAGTGGATCAAAATAATTAAAACGTTATGAGTCAACCCAAAATTCAGTACCCCACAAAAGTAGCCTTGAAGAATACAGATGAAATAAAGATATTTTCAGATAAATAAAATGAGAACTAATCCCAGCAGACACACCCTACCTACACAAATGCTCAAAGTTCTTTAGGGACTTCAGGAGACACTCAAGATTTTCAAGAAGAATGATGAGGAACAAAAGTAATAAATGTACAAATAGTTTTTAAAACACATTTTTTCACTTAATTTCTTTAACATATACAAATAACTAATAGACAAATGACAGAATACTAAAACATGCAATTAAGCTAAAATGGACAAAAGATATGAAGGAAGACTCAAGAAACTAAAGCAGGTTCAGGCCATAAACGAATAATTGGAAAGAACCAACAGAGAGATTAGGAAGGGAAAAGAGAGGGTATTACTGATGAATAATCCTTCATTATAACATTAGGTAAAACAATTACCAACACACATAATAGGTAGTTTACTGGTGGAAAACCAAAAAAAATCCATTTAATCTAATTCTGTTTTTGTGTAAGGCATGAACAGAAACTAATGATGTCAAAAAAGCTTGAAAACACTACCACCAATGAGAACCAAGTTGATTATGTCAAATAAAGAGGATTACAGAGGCACTAAGGACCACGCTAAAATTTACAATCATGAATTTATATTTGTTATTTGTGACCTAGATTCTGAGAGATGCAAAACAATTCATTTCCTCTCACTTACTTAAATTCAGAAATCATATATATTTTCTAAGAAGTCTTAGGTTCCACTTAATGTTTCTGCACAGCTTCTGCTTTATTTAGATCCTTACATCCTCTCAAATTTCTTCATATGTTTTGGATATGTGCAATTACTCTCTTCTGTTCTTGGGACAATTAATTCCTCTAGACTTTACTTTTTGATTTGGATTAGTCTCTCCCTTCCCTGTTGATTCTACATGTGAATTCCAATGGTCACTTCAGAATAGGAAGGCAACATGGCTGGTGGGCTTTTTCATGCTGTCTATACAGAACTCTATCTTGCCAGGTCTCTTGTGTAAGCACAACTGACAGGTGATATGTCATGCTTAATCACTTAAAGTGAACACATGATAGCTAAAACTACATAGCACGTACAAATATATAAATACAGCACATGGCTTCTTTCATTT